ATGTGGCCTTGCATTGTCATGGAGCAACATCACACAGGAAGACATGCCACTTGTTTTGTATGGCATGCCGGAATTTTCTCAAGATCACACAATATCCATCAGAATTGATTGTTGTGCCTCTTGGCATAAAATCCACTAACAAAATCCCTTTCCTGTTCCAAAAGACAGTTTCCATAATTTTCCGTGCTGAAATGGACTGTTTGGCTTTCACTTTAGTTGGCGAAGATGTGTGTCCCATTCCATTGACTGTTGCTTGGACTCGGGAGTCATGTGAGACACCCAAGTCTCATCTCCTGTAACAATGTGGTCCAACAATTCATCTCCTTCATGATCGTATAGAGTCAAATACGATAAAGCACTGCCCAATCTTTTTGTTTTGTGATCAGAAAGCAGTCTTGGAACCCACCGAGAACACAATTTTCAATAATTCAGTTTCTCCGAAACAATGGTATACAAAACTGATCTTGAAACCTGTGGAAATTCAATTGGTAACATTTAAATCGTGAATTGTCGGTCCTCTCGAATTTTGTTATCTACATCACAAACCAAATCTTCAGAAATCAGAGGTCAGCCAGGGTGTGGCTCATCATGCACATTAACCTGTCCGTCCTTGAACATTCTCACCCACTTTTGAACTTTACAATCACTCATAGCATTATCATCATAAACTTCACAAATGTGACGGTGAATTTCTGCTGCTGCCAAGTTTCTTGCACTCAAGAATTGAATAACAGATCATATCTCACAGTCGGCGGGCAACTCAATTTTCTTAAACATTATAAACTTGTACAGCTCAGCACACAGACAGATGATACAGCTGCAAATGATGTCTAAATGTATGCAAAGCATGCTTGGAGTAGACGCACCTATGCACTGCCACGATCGCACGTCATTCTCACTCTCATTCACAAACAGACCTTATTTAAAAAATAGCCCTCATACATCAAATTTTAAATATAAATTTTGCGATTTTGTTGTAACTATTGTTCATTTATTCCTATTGTAAATTATCAAATTTACAATAGAAATATGAATAAAAGAAGAACAATTGTTACCAATTTTATTTAAGTAATAACCAACCTCAAATAGTAGATGCGGCTACTATTTGAGGATTTCTGAAAACTTCAGGAAACAACATGAAATTAATAAAAATTGTACTGTGGATAGATACTGTATTTATTTATTTATTTAATAAACCTATAACAAGTCCAGCAGAACGGTGTATACTTCTGCACATCCCGTTCTGCTGGACTCTTTATAGGTTTGAAGTTGTGTTATATTTGGTTATGGTCTGGTTCTTTAGAGGATTTAATAATAGTTATCAATTTTAAATTAAGAAATTATATTTATTACATGTTTTTTCTTTAATAATGTACACATTAAACTGTCTTAAGCAAGGTTCACATTATCATACAAACTGCTATGAAGGGGATATGAACTGCAAGTTCATCCACTTTCAGCAAGTGCTTGACAGTTGGATCAGTTAGGAGTTGAGATACTCTCAACTCCTAACTGATCCAAACTTTAATTCATTTGACCAATCAAATTTTTACAACTAGTGTTCAATATTTTTTCTAATCACATTTTAACTTAGTTTGTGTCATGTAATGTACAGTAGATCCCCCTATAAAACCGTTTCCTATAGTTATGATTCCTATAAAAATTGTGGCAGTANCCAATACATCATTTTAATTTTTATAAAAAAAAAAGTATCAGCAAATTATATTTATTTGTCAAGTTACACAACTTTTAAATCATCCTATATATATAAAATAGGCAGTGTTTTATTTAAATAAAAAAAAAATTGTAGCTTTTTCAGTAACTCTTTACCAGAAATTATCTTCCTAGATTTTGTAATATGTTAATTTCAGTACTAAAAGTTGGGAGGTTTTTTATTTGAAAGACAATAGGAAATGCATTGATTTAAGATGTAAAGGCCAATAATGGTAATTATTCCATTTTGTGTTCTATGTAATAATGTATTTCGAGAAATGCTGCACTATATTCAAATTGAAAATTATATTTTCTCATCTACATTTCGTTATTTCATTAATCTTTAAAATCTAAATTTCTTCTAATTTTTCAATCTTGTACTGAATTCAAAACAAGAAATTTGCCTAATTTTGCTAATAATTACTTTTCTACGAACCACAACGAAGTAATCTGTGTCTTTTAGTTTTTCTTTTTTCCTTAAAAATTTATATTTTATGATAAAAATTTATTATTCGGCTAATTTTCATCGAGACAATTTCTAGTTTTGTTAATATACTTATTCATTTTACTATACAATAATAGAGTGGTACATTAAAATATACCCAGCTAAAATTTCTCTCTTTTTTTTTTTTACAGCTATTTTTTGATTTGAAAACTTAATTAATTGTCAAGCAAAAATCAGAATAATAATGAAGCACATTATGAAAAAATAAATTAATCTTAAAGTAAATACATAAGATATTCAGAAAATTTGCAATAATATTTTTGGAAGATGATTCCTTTTTGTCTACAGAGAAATATTTTAGGTTGATTTAAATAACTCTTTGAGAAACATTGTTATTTACTCATTAAAAACTAATTTTAATGAATTCATATTGTTAAATCATCTGCTGGATTATCTATTGGGCTGTGTTAAGGCTTTATTAGATTGAATATACTCCAATCAGACAGTCAGATGGATGTTAAGGTGGCAACCTATACTCTGAGGATCAGGGATCAATTCCAGACAGGTAGAAAACTCCCAGGAATTTTTCAGGGGTAGTCTGTTCAGGTATGTCAAACCCTGTCCCTCACTACACAGTCACACCATTGTGGGCTTGTAGCCATATTGCCAAATAATCTGGCAGATTGTTTGGCAATATGGCTATGTCAGATAGTTGTTTACTAAGTATTTAAAGAATTCATTTTTTTTTTAATTTATTTTTAACAAGCATCAGAAATGGCAACATACAAAGAAAGAAAAAAAGCAACATTCTTATTAAAGAAATTTCTCAATAGTAAAATTCAATTGAAATTGCCTTTTCTAAAACAAAACTTACTGAAAATTTTTAGAAAAGAAATTGTTGAATATTTTCATTTCAGAAAAAGTAATGCAGGTTGGGAGAAAAGACTTTTTAAAAAATGTTTTCCAATAAAATTATTGTGGGTTTTAAGAAACAATGTATTAAAACTAACATTTATTTATGGATTATGCAATTTGAAAGAAAAAGCATCATTATAATATATGAATTTATTTATTTAGAAATTCCATAAGCATATGAATATGATTATAATATATTCTCTCATGTTTGTCATTAGATTCTATTCAAATTATGCAAGCAATCTGGCCATTTTCACCATGGACAGATCCAAGAGTCTTCCCATTGACACAAAAATTAAAATTTATTTGTGTGAAACATCAAAACATTGTTTTTAACAACATTTTTAATGGCAGATATGGTTCATTGGACCATTATTGGATATGGTCATCGTGCATATGTTAATAACAGGTCTTTATTAATAATTTTTGAGTTAGCCCCTCTTTGGATCTGCTACTGGCTTAAGCAAATAATAAATATATTCTCATAATAAATAATGGCATCATCATAATTTTATTTTTAGAAATTGTTAATAAATGCAAGTTTTAGATTTTATTATTATTTTTATTTATTTAAACTGTTCAAGGAATCAAGTTCATAAAATTTTATAACACATTTTCTGAACATTTTGTATGTACACGTATAACTGCAAGTTTATAAAATTAAAAATTAAATACAGTTCAATTTTAGAAGTCATTAAAAACCTTTTTTCTAAAAGATTCTAGAGTAAAGAATAGTTCTATTCTAAGATTAATGGTATTTGTTTTGATATGCTTCAATGTAAACACTTACAAAAGTATTCTGCTTAAGAAAGCTGAATATTTTTTTATATGCTTTAAGCATAATATAGCATCTAAATATCAAAATAACCAGAAATTTTTTGATTAAATCATTTAATTAATCCAATTTAAATAGAGATTTAGGCTATTAGGAAACTGAAGTAGTTGATGTGTGCCTTATGCTGTAAGGTGAGTGGACAGAATTGCCAAATTGCATCAGTGTGCACCCACTTGGTTACATTTCAGTGGCAAATCAAGCCAAATTAAGAGAAAGAGTGAAGGTATTCAGACAGTGTTTTTTAGTTTGAGAAACATCCATGAAGAATTAGTAGCTGCCTATTATTATAAAAGGATACTGTAGTTTGGTGCACCAGAGAAATTAATATTGCATCTCCCATAATAAAAGAAATGACAATACTCTCAAAAAAAATTGATTTCTGTTAATAACTAGTATGCCAATCTGGGTTAGTTGAGGTAAGTGGGGAGAAATGTTGCTTACTAGAGAATGCAAGATAGAATTCCTTCCATGTGACCCAGTCTCTCCATATTCCTACCCGCCTAGAATGCACATACATAATTTATAACATGGAATTTGTTCTGTTTGTCCACCTACCTTCCCAAGTGTGTGCTTATCTTAAGGGATCCAGATTTGAGTCTGAGTCAGATCTTTAGAAATTTTTATGGATGACAAAACTCAGACACATTGAGACCATCATTTGCCCTATCATGGCTTGATTTGTGATGAAAATTTAAAAAAATAAAAAAGGATAAATGGTCTACAGAGAAAAAAGAATTCAAATAAGATTCAGAAATTAAAAGTTTAAAGGTTTTTTAACAACTTCTAAAACTTCAATGCATTTAATTTTAATATCAGATTAAAAATAAACAGTAGCTTAATGTAAGTTTTAAAAAAGTCTTAGATTTTTTACTTACTACTAATAAATTATAATAAAGAATTAATTAAATATAAATAAATTATAGATATATTTCTTTAAAATATTTCTCTGACAAGTCAAAAATATGATATATTTTATAGTTTATAACATGCAAAATCAGTTTTTATTTACAGATTTTAAATTTTGATTTAATTTAATTTGCACTCTCTTAACCGAAAGAATTATTTTATTACCTAATTAGAATGTCTATGTCAAGAAATTATAAATATTTTTATTAAAAATGTCATATTGTTTATTTTTACTGTATTAAATTTAGGCTGGTAAATTTTGTCTTTTGATTCTGGATTTAATTTTGATATTCAAGCAATTTTTAACTTCAAGAATTATTGGGAATATGAATGACTGAATCCAATTATAAATAGAAATATAAAAACGTTTGATTTCTTTTCATGATTATAAATTTGAGAAGAAAGTCCATTCTCTTATGACATTTTTCTGCATATAACTCATTTAAAGATGTTGCATGAATACAGCAAGTTCTCACTTAAGATCGTTTCATTACAATATTACTAAGGAAAAATACAAGTACATTTGCAATCATTTGCAACTATTGTTGTTGAATTTTCATTATAAATAGTAAAACTGATTCTGTGTGGTGGAAATAAATACCAGAGGTAGCAAATATGCTCCAATTAGAGTAATGCTAACAGAATTCATCCAGTAGTGATCCTTAAGCAGGAAATGTTTCATAATTTTCACAACAGCAAATATTTTTGGCCTTCATCAAAGGCCTGTGTCTTTGATGGAGACATTTTCCTGCTGGAAGAGTGTTTAAGGTTCATTACACGTTATTGAATAAAAAAACTTCCAGCTTTTGAAATATTTCTTGAGTTAACAGAATTATATTTTTGTTTTTATCAATTATTCTACAGTAAAATTGGTTTCTTTATGTTGCAGTTTTCAAGAACCTACTGATGATTGTTAAGAAACACTTGCTATACATTTTAATTGTATGTCTGGTTCTGAAGCTGTTGCATCTATAAATGATATTTTCCTCAAAATTAGAATGTATCAAAGAATAAATAATAATTTTAGGCATTTCTGATGTTCTACAATTTTGTCATGGCATTGAAAATAATAATGTTTTTTAGTTCATATGCTCCTAAAGTTGAGCATATCAGCTTGTAGCCATGTTAGAGAAACTATATCTTTGTATTTATTTTTTTTTAGAAATGAAACATTATTAACATTTATAAGAAAATAAATTACTTTTATATTTTGATATTTCTTGAAAATATTTCAATATTCACAGTTACATGAATTCTATATAGGCTATACCAGTCTATAAATATTTTATTATAGGAATTCTGAAATTTCATCTATAGACAGCATACTTAAGGAAGTTCCTCAAACATAAATCCAATTTAAACTGCTTTTAGAATAAAATCTGTTTAGAAAATCTAAGTGCTTTTGGACGAAAGTCTCTCATAGGGAATCAGCAAGAAATTTTTCTTGTTGACTCCTGATCATATAGAATCTCAAAGCACTTGGGTTTATTAAAAAGTTTTTTCTTCAAGAAGATCAATTTGAATTGGATTTAATCTATCAACTCTGTAGAATTTAAATCAATATCATTTCAGATAAAGAAAGAGTCAGTTTCTGTCAAAAACAGTATATTTATTCTTCATACCATTAACATTTTTATTATTTGTCATTAGATTGAGTTTAGATTTAATGGACAATTAATATATATGTACAGTACATTGCTGATATATACAGTGCATACAGTACAGGCCCAATCCAGTGCAGGATTTTTAAAAATGTGGAATTTTAAAAAATGTATTGTTTTCATAACATAGTTTACTAATTTTTACAATGTAGGTTGTAGGCATTCTGTTTGGTAAAACTACAGATCTGAATGAGTGGTTTCTGATCCCGTAGACAACCAAAAAAGTCAAAGGAACCATACTTCTAATTGTGACCCTTGGTGAGATATTGTTTTGTGGTAGCTGCTTGTTTAAACACACAATAGGCTTAACAGAGAGGCTTAATGACTCCACTTGTATCCCAGTTGTAGTTGGTGCAATGGCTTTTCTTGTGTTTTATGAGCTTTTAAAAGTATCTAATAAAGTAGAAAACAGTTCATTTTTAGTGTTATTTTGAGAAATAGTTCTGGATTTTTTCACTTTTAAATTTTACCCCATTTTTGGGGTCTTCAAAATTCCAGATGTAGCCCCCCAAAATTGGCCTATCTCATGAAAGGCATTTGTAGACCATTGGGTCTTTTGACTTTTTTTTTAATCCTACAGGTATGGTCTCCAGCTCTGATAAACTCTCAACCACCTCATTCAGAGCTGCATTTATATCTTTCTTTTCTTTTTTAATTCTTCCCAAATAGCAGGTTAGTCTTGATACAATACATAGATTTCTGTACATCAAGTTAAGATTGTGCAAATAAATATTTTAAAAAATTAATGAAAATTTAAAACTGATTTTGTTCATGTTTATTATAATCAAATATTTGTAAAAAATATTTATTTTCATTGACTGTTTTTCATATCTTTCAACATTTGATTTTATCTAGGCACATTTTAATGTATCATTCTGTAAAATTATTTTAATTAAAATAAATAATAATATTTATCTTATTTCAATAATAATATAATATTTACAATTAAAAATATTTTAATCCATTGGCATTGATCTACAAAAAGCTATGCTAGATTTTTATAACTTAATATTTTTTAATTACTATACAGTAAATTCATAGAAGATTTTATGAAGATTAAATGTGAAAACCATGATTCTATGGGTAAAAACTTTTTTTTTTGTAAGTTGTACTAAGAAATAAGTTTAAAAAATCTTATTTAAAATTCAACAGATAAATTCACTAAAAAAAATAATAAATTTCTTGAATTTAGGAATATGTAAAAATTTTAAATTATTAATCATATAATAAAACAGTTTTAAAGACATGCTAGAATCTTGCTATTAATTCTGAAACTATCTTTTCCAAGATGAGTTGAGAAGGTATTTACATTGGTTACATTGATTATATTGATAACACACCTGTTAAGTTAGCTCCTCATATATAAATCCAATTTAAACTGCTCTTTTGGAGTGAAAATATATTAGGACAGTCGAGTGCTTTCATGCTACATGCCTATCATCGGATATCAATAAGAGAAATAAGGTCAGCAGATGACAGATCACTGCTGGTGTTGTCTTTCGTCGCTCCCAGATAATGGACATTGAGCTCAAAATCACTTGAATTTTCTTTCCCCCCAAGAAATACAGTATGAATTGGATTATAAGAAGACAGTTAAAAGAAGAGATAACTACTGTAAATTTAATAACAATTACAGTATTCATATATCTTTTCTTTTAAAGTTACACTATTAAAATATCTTAAATGTGATCATAATAAGATTACAAGACAAATTTAAAACTTTCATTAATACAGTACTTTCCTCACAACATCAGTAAAATAATATATAATTACTTTGTTCTTCAAACAGTTTTATATTATATTATATTTAATAAATAATCAACTGGTTACTAGAATTTTGGCATTTAAAAACATCTATTGCTCTGTCTTTAGAAGCATCCTCTAAATTAAAATGTGAACACTCTAATCTTAATTTATAAAATTAATTTAAATGAGGTTTTGAAGATGTTCCAAAAAGCACTTATAAATGTTAAAATTCCTTTACAGGCTGATTATTTTTGTATTGTTTAATTATAATAATAAAAATTTATAACACAAACTAAATTTTACTTATATTTTCTACAACATATATATACATATAAATTATATATATGTATGTATTTATATATATATATAATATACAAATGCCAATGGATTATTGTTTGATAGAAATTCACGTATAACTTCAACAGAAACCAATATTGACATTTACAACAGATGATGCAATTCACAGAAGTAACAAAGAATGACAAACATTTTATTACATTTGCAAAACTTATATATATATTTAATTTCATTATATAGCAAGTACTTTCTCATCTTTTTATTATAAACTTATAAATATCTAATGTGCACAAATTTATTCAAAATCTGTCACTGAATAGAAGTTTTTTTTTTATGTATATACAGTATACAATATACTTTTCCCATAAAGAATGGAAATAGTTTTGATTTCATCGTACATGCAAATTGCACATACGTCTGTTTTTTTTCTATTCTGAAGTTGTCTGGGAAGCAAAAACTGTACAAATCTTTATTTTACTTGACCATAAATTAAAGAAGATATGAATTCCAACTTTTAAAAATAATTCAGTCTTTTCTATTAGTTGTTCTCATTACAAGTTTTGTTTTGTCAGGCTGTAATAAAAAGTTAATTTTACATAAAATATTTTAGTTACAAATCAATATTAACTTAGTTTATATTTTGAGAGATAATAAACAAAAAAGAATTTACTTACGGGCAGGATACTGAACCAACATGTTAAATCTTCTGAAACAATCATAATTGCTCCTGCGTTGTCAAATTCGCCACAGTAATTTGGAGCACTGAATAAAGTAACAAGCTGGAAAAAATAACATAAGTTAGATCTGTTTATATCAAATACAAGCATACAAAAATAATGAATAATCTTATATGATTAAGATAAAATATAACAGAAAGAATTGAAATATAAATGCCAGTAAACATCATTGGATTTCCTGGTCTAATATTGGCTACTTTCCAATAGAACAACTTCCTAAAGCAAATGACATGGAATTAGGGGGTTCAAAAATATTTTCAATGTGATAAAATACTGACTTCAATTCAAATTGATGTTCTTAGAGTAAAACTTTTTGAAAATTCAAGGGCTTTGTACCCATCATCAGAAATCAATGAAATAGTTTTTGCTCTAAGAAAAGTTTGGATTAAATTTACATTTGAAGAACTTTCTTAACAAATAAATTATTGACTCCTATAATTTAGTCTATTTTATTTTAATATATTCACTTTACCTCAATCATCTGTTTTATCAACATAACCATTACAATTGAATTGTTGCAAGTCTGGATGTTGTTATAAAAATTATTCTTGTTAAAATAACTTATATACCAGTATTTAGTCATTTTTTATATTTAATAACAGCTTAAAATTATATGAAAGCTATTTTTTAAATAAGGTCTGTTTTTTAATAAGAAGAAAAATACTGTAAATATTATTAAAATATATTTTTTTCCCATATTCTACATACTTTTATCTACTTTTCTACATAATTTCCATTTTTGTTCAAACATCTATCATACTGCTCAACAATTTTTTGAATTCAGACTTCAAATATATCTGCCACCTGTGAGAAAGCCGAATCCATGACTGTAGTTTTCACTTTGTCATCATTGAACCGTTGGCCACCAAAAAACTTCTTTAAGTATCGAAATAAATGAAAATCACTGGGTGCAAGGTGTGGATTTAAGGTGGATGATACAGTTGTTCCCATCCAAAAGAACTGATTAGACCTTGTGTTTGTGCAGAAACATGTGGCCTTGCATTGTCATGGAGCAACATCACACAGGAAGACATGCCACTTGTTTTGTATGGCATGCCGGAATTTTCTCAAGATCACACAATATCCATCAGAATTGATTGTTGTGCCTCTTGGCATAAAATCCACTAACAAAATCCCTTTCCTGTTCCAAAAGACAGTTTCCATAATTTTCCGTGCTGAAATGGACTGTTTGGCTTTCACTTTAGTTGGCGAAGATGTGTGTCCCATTCCATTGACTGTTGCTTGGACTCGGGAGTCATGTGAGACACCCAAGTCTCATCTCCTGTAACAATGTGGTCCAACAATTCATCTCCTTCATGATCGTATAGAGTCAAAAACGATAAAGCACTGCCCAATCTTTTTGTTTTGTGATCAGAAAGCAGTCTTGGAACCCACCGAGAACACAATTTTCAATAATTCAGTTTCTCCGAAACAATGGTATACAAAACTGATCTTGAAACCTGTGGAAATTCAATTGGTAACATTTAAATCGTGAATTGTCGGTCCTCTCGAATTTTGTTATCTACATCACAAACCAAATCTTCAGAAATCAGAGGTCAGCCAGGGTGTGGCTCATCATGCACATTAACCTGTCCGTCCTTGAACATTCTCACCCACTTTTGAACTTTACAATCACTCATAGCATTATCATCATAAACTTCACAAATGTGACGGTGAATTTCTGCTGCTGCCAAGTTTCTTGCACTCAAGAATTGAATAACAGATCATATCTCACAGTCGGCGGGCAACTCAATTTTCTTAAACATTATAAACTTGTACAGCTCAGCACACAGACAGATGATACAGCTGCAAATGATGTCTAAATGTATGCAAAGCATGCTTGGAGTAGACGCACCTATGCACTGCCACGATCGCACGTCATTCTCACTCTCATTCACAAACAGACCTTATTTAAAAAATAGCCCTCATACATCAAATTTTAAATATAAATTTTGCGATTTTGTTGTAACTATTGTTCATTTATTCCTATTGTAAATTATCAAATTTACAATAGAAATATGAATAAAAGAAGAACAATTGTTACCAATTTTATTTAAGTAATAACCAACCTCAAATAGTAGATGCGGCTACTATTTGAGGATTTCTGAAAACTTCAGGAAACAACATGAAATTAATAAAAATTGTACTGTGGATAGATACTGTATTTATTTATTTATTTAATAAACCTATAACAAGTCCAGCAGAACGGTGTATACTTCTGCACATCCCGTTCTGCTGGACTCTTTATAGGTTTGAAGTTGTGTTATATTTGGTTATGGTCTGGTTCTTTAGAGGATTTAATAATAGTTATCAATTTTAAATTAAGAAATTATATTTATTACATGTTTTTTCTTTAATAATGTACACATTAAACTGTCTTAAGCAAGGTTCACATTATCATACAAACTGCTATGAAGGGGATATGAACTGCAAGTTCATCCACTTTCAGCAAGTGCTTGACAGTTGGATCAGTTAGGAGTTGAGATACTCTCAACTCCTAACTGATCCAAACTTTAATTCATTTGACCAATCAAATTTTTACAACTAGTGTTCAATATTTTTTCTAATCACATTTTAACTTAGTTTGTGTCATGTAATGTACAGTAGATCCCCCTATAAAACCGTTTCCTATAGTTATGATTCCTATAAAAATTGTGGCAGTATCCGTAAACAACGGTAAAAATAACTCCTATAATACGTAAAACGTCATCGGGCAGCCGAACTACTTTCCCGCCGTCC